AGCGCCGGCATAGCCTTGACATGCCATTCAGCTTGAGATACTTTGCCATCTCCCAAATGCACTTAAACATTTAGTAAATGCGCCATAGAAAAATCACTTTGGATGGCACAAATTTTATATACCCCCTGTAAATGCGCACATAACATATGCAACTGACACACATTTTATGTGCGAGTATTCTGCTTTTCCGCCATATATCTATACATATATACGTATATACGTATGCATGTGCGGACCTATATGAATTTATGCTATTGCCAACGACTGCCAATTCGCATAAATGTCACGTACGTCAGTTTGTCATTTGCGTAAAGGAGGTTCTGTTCCGTTCCGTTCCGTTCTGTTCGGTTCGGTTTGGTTCGGCTTGGTCCTGTCCTCTTCAGAATCCCCGCTGCAATTTGACTGACTGCACACGAGAGCTCCGAAAAAAAGTGAAAAGGAAAAAAATAAAAGGCTTCCGAGCGACAGCCGCAATTCCATGTCTCATATCTTATACATATGAATAACGCATACGCACTGTGTGCCGGCAAAAGTTTTCAAAGAGTTCAAATTGCTGGCATGCGTCGTATATGTATGCACAGGCGACTAATTAAAATTTTATGACGCCCCATGCCTGTGCCAGTGTTGTGTGCGTGGGAAAATTCATAACAATTTTGCCAAAACGCTCTCGAGCTATTTAAATATTAAATGAGTTCGGATTTTTGGACAACCCCCTACAATTTGGCTACTTAAAAAATTTAAAACACGGTAGCTTCATTGTTTCACTTAGCCCGGCCAGCTTGTGCATGTCGGTTATTTATCAAATTTCAGAGTTCATTACACTTTCTGGCTTCGTCGGCTTAGCCATGTCGATGGCAGGCATTAAGCTGCCTATAAACGGCGATGTCTTCGCTTCAATTGTCAATTATGTTAAACAAAGTTATTAAATTACGCAAAAAGTAGGCAGCCAAGCGCGAGCGGCAGCGGCAACGTCAAGTCAACGGGATTACACATACGCAGCGTGGGCGAGGTGGATTCTCGCGACAAATCAATAAGCTCAGGTGCCGGGATTTCCTACTTTGGGGTGGCTGCTCGCTCCACCTGCCCAAATGGCTGCCAGAAAATTTCCATTTAGCATAAAACCCGAGCGCTATTAACAGAGTACAGACACAACACGGGGAATTACGCCACTCGGCGTAACTACACACTAAAATATGCAGAAAGGGAGGGAAAGTGAGGAGACCCTGTAGACGCTTTTTAATGTACCACGGCGGTGGCACAAAGAATGTCTGCCCTTGCCCACAGACATCATAAAAATTCGTTAAAAATAAAAAAAAACACAAAGCGGCAACAGCAGCAACATCAGCCAGGGCAGCACCGCCAACGACTTCCGTGAGCTTAAGCCCAAAGACCGCGCCCCCACTTTTACCGGCATTTCGCATTACGCATACGCCACCGTTTCGGTCCGCTTTCAACAGGAAGCTCACATTGTTTTGGCCATATTTACTTCGCAGTCGGCTGCCGGGGGCTGTTTGTGTGCCAGGCGCCATAAGTAACAAATTTTATAAATTATTTAAATTTTTATTCATGCTACGTTGTAAAGTTAAGCCCGCTGACAGTTAGCTAGTTTGCCCAGTGGGGAATGGGCAACATTTTCCCGCCGTCACATTATTTTTGTTTTTATATTTCTCCTCCACTGATGTCTGGGCTTTACTTTCGCTGCCTGGGCCTTTTGTGACCTTGACTCGCTGGCCTTTAAATATTGATAACGTCCTTTGATCCCAGCCAAGCAGCCCTGACAAGCGGCATTTGAACCTAAGCCCGGATACGACCTGCGTATTTATGCAAATGCAGGAAGAAGTTATGCCTAATAAAATTCTGGGGCCGGGCAATGTCTTTTGTATAACAATGCAATACTTTTGCTCTCATATTTTCGCATGATTTATGGAAGGAGCAGAGCGGAGCGGAGCCAAGATTCAAGCCGAGCGGGGGCAATAAAAAAGAATGTCGCAGTTTTATGAGGCCCGGCAAATGGCCATAAAATGTCAAGGCACATATGAGAAAATATAAATAAATCGAACGATTATTGACAATTATAATGATATATGGATGCGTACTCAAAAGTCATAAATTGGCAGGCCAAAGGAAGAAGGGGTGTGCCCGAGGAAGTAATAAAAGGACCCGGCTGTATTAGCCAACTGGGTAAGTGGAACTTGCGTCAGGGTCAGTGGAGCTAAGTGGGTGCAGAAGGCAGTTATGGCTGGGAAATGGAAAATGGCAAATGGGAAATGGTGAATGGAAGGAAGCCAAATAATAATGTTTGCTTCGGCGGCATTACAGCTCGCTCAGTCCCTCGCATGCACAACATCTCATTCATAGTCCAATGAAGACGAATTCTTCTCGGGGTAATTGCCCTGCTCCACTTCCCACCCAACGGTTGTTCCCATCTAATTATCAATTTAGTGCAATTTGTTTCTGTGGCCGAGCGAAGACGTAATTTCCATATTTGTAATGCATTTTATCTTTGGCGAGTCGCTGTCTCAACAGCCTTAATTTGCTCTCGTATTTTCTGCCTTTTATTTCGTCAGTGCTTCGTCGGGCTTTTAAACTATTAAAAGTTGAGTTGTCTGCCACTGATAAAGACTGCTCGTCAAACCCAACTGGTTAATTCTTAATGCAAAGTAAACGCCGGACTGTTCTTTCTGCTTGCTGCAGTCAGATAGCAGAAAGCTGTTTGTTAATAAATTAAGTTCTTAATTCACTGGTCATTATGGCAGACAACTCGCATTTGTGTATGTGTTGTCGTTAATGGCCCGTCGCAGAGTTTCCCAGAAACTTGGTCGCAGAGTTTGCTTATGAGGAATTTGCAGCTCGTTTATAAAGTTTAACTTGGCGGCAGAATATATATTTGATTATTTAATTGGTATTGGTTTAAATGGATCTCTGTCTGTTCGTCATAAATTCTGCTAGGTGGCACATTAATTTTAATTTATGTATTTGCTTATGAAACTTTTATGCCGAGAGTGACAACAATAAAAGTTTGCCCATATGCCACTAACAGACTTTTTAATAAACATCATTTTTTATTCATCCCTTTTTTTGTCTTTAATTCGTTGCGATAATTTGTTGCCGTTGTTGTTTTTGTTTATGGCCAGCTTAATTGCAAAGTTTTTCATCGTTGGTTAACCCAATGGCGACCGTAGATTTATGAAATATTTATATGGAAATAAATAAAAGAGAGCACGCATGCACATTTGGTAGATAATTTAAATCAATTGCTGAGAACTGCAATTAGCAGCAAAGATAAAAATAAATTAAAGGCCTCCGCATAACAAATGACCCATAATCGTGCAACTGCGAAATCCTACTGGAATCCATTATACATGTACCGCTACGTATTTATATAGCCACATATATTTTAATGGTCCCGGTCCCCATAAATTATGCCGCATTTACTTTAGAGATAGAAAAAAGCGCCGATGCCAATGCTGAAGCGCTCCAGTCGATAAATGGGTTGCGGTCGAGCCTTGAATCCTTTAATTTGAACTCGGACCGCCTTCCACACCCCGGCAACTTCGGAGCAGCAGTTGCAAAGTCAAAGGCACATTTCAAATGTCGAAAGCAAATAGTAGAGAAGTGAAAAAAGAGTCGGGCTGAGGGCATTAAAATGCATGTGTGTAGTCTGGAGAACTGGAAAAATATGGCCAAAGCAAATTGCTGACTGCGCCAGAGTTGAAAACTTAACAAGTTGGAGTGTGGCTCGGAAAAGGTATCGAGTGCCGAATACCCAGTGATTTTCAGTAAGCTTTTATGATAAATTCGTGTTATATAATTAAACATTGCACAAGCAAGACATTATTTCTTTTAATAGTAAAGGCAATCACATTTTCACGTTTTTTTTTAAAAGAATTCACAATACGTTAACTTGCCTAATAAAATAAATTTTAATATTGGCTTTTTATTTAACTATCTCTTAAGCAAACGACCATTATATATTTGAAAGTAATGTTTTTAAGTCTGTATGATCAATTGAGTTTGTTTATATATAAACAAGTATACTTGTATGTTTTCTATATATTTAATTTATATGCCTTCTTATAAAAGAATTTATGTTATCCTTAGTTTGTGGCTTTATTTCTGAAAGAAATCTTTGCTAAAGTGAATGCAAGTCCAGCTTATCCTTTGATACCGTCTAACTCTTCAGCATTTCAGCTTGGGCCCTTGGCCAACAGCGCTGCTTCTTTTTAAATAAAGAGCAGCAAAACGCAAATATCATCGAATGGAATATAATTTATGTGCTCCATTTGCAGTCGGCAGTTCGCCACTCGCACACATTTGCTGCTTGGCACTCCGCTGCCCGAGTCCTTCCCCCTCGGAAACCCCTACTCCCCACCTCTACCCGCATTCTGGGCACTTTTGCATATGGGGTTCTGAGCCCAAGCCCGAGCCCGAACCCGAGCCCGAAATGGAATGAAAATGGTTGAACTCGCAGTTAGCGATTCCCCAGTCGCATTTTGGGAATTTTTCTCGTTGCGTTCATCTTTTGGCAAGGTTGCGCCTCTGATCCATAAATATCCGCTGGGCACTACGGTTCCCGATCCCTTGGCTAGCAAAGTTTGCCCCCACCATCGGCGTATTTGGCAAATTAAATCGTTAAATGCTTGTTAAAAAGTTCGACTTGCCTCTGCCTCGCAGTGTGTGTATCCGCATCCATATCCGAATCTCTATCTGCATCTGTATCTTTGAACCGTTTCTGGGCAAGTCGCCGACGCTTATGATTTATGCCAGCGCATGTTTTGTAGTTTTTGGGCACAGGTTGCCGTCGAAGAACGTAAATAAGCAGCGGCCAAAAGGCTAAATGGCCAAAACAGCAGACTGACCAAAGGGTTGCGGTTCTCCGCTTTCAGCTTTCAGCTTCCCGCTCCTTTTTTATTTATTCTCATACGTTGCCGGTTCGCTGGGGGCCATTAAACAATAAATTAAACGAAAGAGAAATTAAACTAAAGTCTGTAACGCTTGTGGCAGGCACATCGATGGGCAGTGCCATCTATGAGGCAAAAACCGAAAGTGTCGCCATCTAGTGGTCAGTTGGGTGCCGCGATTGGGGTAAGAATTTTCGGAGACGAAGAGGCAACAGAGTCAATTGTCATGATCCCGGAAAACGGAGAGTTATTCTATGGGGGCTAACTTAGCTTCCCGCCCAGAGCCACGAGCTGCTGGCTTTCTTTCCCTTTTCGGCAGCCATCGAGTGCGGTTTAGTTCAGTTGTAAGTCTCGTATTTAATTAGTTGGTGAAAGTTTGTTTGAAAATTATATCTCTATAGTGGCCTTGTGTAAAGTGACGGATAGAATATCCAGATTATATATATAGCGCTAAATCCTGTTTATGGGTAAGAAAAAATGAAATGGTTGCTAAGATTGTAGACACAAAAGTGATTTTTGATTTAGGTTTGGCGCTTAGTATCCGATATTGGATCCGGCCGTCGCTGTAGAGGGAACAATTCATCAAGTCCCCCTAAAGAAGAGCGAAGTCATCCGACGGGGGGAGGGAAATTATCGTCGCATAAAAGGAGTCTCAAAGGCCTAAGAGTTCCCTAAGATAATTATTTAATCAGCTTAAGTCGCTGGGAGCGGAGTTAGGACTAAGAGAGGGCAAAAGAGTCAAAAAGAACTCGAGATGTAACACCTGCCCAAATTACACATAATATTTATATTCCCTCTTCATCATCTTCGTTATCTCCCGCCTGCGAGCGAAACTTAGCGAAGCTCAGTTTGACAGGCAGTTTTTCGGCGCGCTGATCTAGTTTAGACGTTTCGGTCCACGCTCGGACGAAAATTTAATTTAACTCGTCGAACAACAATGCGGAATAATTGTTAAGTCGCCGCACGGAATGTAAGGCAGTTCGGAAAGCCGAAGATCGGTCGGAGTTCGCTGAAAGTGGATAGTTTATAAGCTATTTCATAAGTTTTTTTTCCTTTTTCTTTGCGGTCTAGGTTATGTAAAATAAGCAGTGAGAATGGAAAAGTAAGAAAAAAAAGAAGGGAAAGAAGAGAAAAGTGCAGTGATGGTTAGAAGGCCAGAAAGGCTTTAATAATGAATAACTAGAAGCACGAATTGCTTTAGGCATAATTTATTTTAATTTTTTTTGGGTGGACAAACAAGCCAATGTGTTAAAAAAAAAAGAAGGAAAGAGCTGCAACAAGAAAAAGAAGAGAAAATTTTGCTGTTGTTTTGCACAGTGGGCTTGCAGTGTGTATATAAGGAAATTTAAATTTTCAGCCTAAGGTGCACTTACGGAAGCGCTTTCGTCGGTGGATCTCCGGAAGGTTGGTGAGTCAGATATCACGTTTTATTAATATGTCTTTGTAAAATATATATATCAAATGAATTACTTTGCGTCCCACCGTACAAAACTTAGCAGTTCGAATAATCCATAAAGGAGAAGAAAAATCTCTCTTGTCTCTCCAATTTTTGAGTGAGATGAATTTCGAAATAAGTAAAACAAACCACTCAATTTGAATTCGCCGTGCGCTCTTCACTGCAATTTTCTGCCATTTCCGTATTCTCGCTCTCGAATAATATTTTTTTGATTTTAATTCGTATTATATCTTACTGCAAAGATTAATTTAATAATTCAATTGTATTGCATGTATTTATGTTCTCATTTAATATCTTTTCAGTATGTTCTCTAATTTTAAGAATTTTATTTAGGTTTTAAATACATTTTATAATGATTAGCTAAATTGCATTTTTGTTTGCCTTCGACTAGGATGAGTCCCCGCTAGAACCCGAATCAGTAGAAGGGGCCGTTCGATAATATGATGGGAAGTTTTCGGTAAAGAACGGCCAAGGCAGGGAGGGCAAATTTGGTTCCGTTAGAACACCCGAGGAACTTTAGGAATTCCATGAGTAAAATAACTATCCCTCTTCGTGCTGGCGCGGATTCACATGATTTCTCCTACCCCATACCACTTGTCGCTGCACGCGAAAATTCGATAAAATTTTAGAATTTACTGGCTCGTGACGAAGGACAAGATCACCACCCCACATAGCCGACAAGGAGCAGCTGGACCATTGCGCGTGCGTCCTTATCGTCATGCAACAACACCCTAGCCACGTACTCGTTACAGTAATAATAATATAATTCTATTTATCTGGCGCCCAACAGTGTAGGCCAAAAATCAGGGTTTTAGATGTGGAAAAAAATGAAAAACAAAATTTTACTCTAAGAATCCCGCTCGCACAAGAAAAAAACTTTAATTTTCATCTAGTTGGTAATGCAGTATCACAGTGGGTTGAAAGATGTGTTTACATCCCAGCCACGGTTGCTGCGGTACTCATGCCAAATATCTCGTCTCTAGTCTTACCTTAATTTCGATATTAGGCGCATAGGACATATAGTTGAATATGTTGTACGCAAGCGTTCAACTAGCCACGGCTGATGTTGAAAGTAAGAGTGGGGCAAATCTATTCTATTTACTTTTTTTTCGGGACCTAAAGCAAGGGTTAATTAGACGCTTGGACATGCAGGTGGTAAACTTATCAATAAGTTTTCACCTGACCACGGATAATGGGCCGGCGCTGAGGACCCATCTATCAAATTTCATGCAATCGCCATCGCGTCTGTCAGGTGCATTGGATAGACAGCCGAAATCTTTTAAAAAAGAGGTCGACTGGCCACGGTTGACAGCGGGAAACGTAGGCCAGATTGCAAAACAAGAGAGAATTGGAAGAGAACCGATCAGCTCTCTTATAGTTGTTGTTTTAGTGAATCTGAGTTTGGCAATAGTCGAAGGGCTAGCCACGTAGCTCTGCATAGGCAGCAATTATATTATTTTTTTCATCTTCTTTTACTCACGGATTCCGAGTTAAACTGCTGATAAGGGTTTGGCAGGGAGAACTCCTATGTTTGAAGGCAAACTGTTTATATATTTCTATCGTGTTTTTGATTTTTCTTACAATTTTTTTTTAAGCTTACTTAATACTTGAACTCTCTCATTTATTTGTTCCTTTCCTCTCATTTCTGACTTAGACCCGAGTTTCTCTTGAGTGATTTTAGAAATTGAGTGTCTTTAAGAATTGAGCGTAGAAAATAAAACAAATCAGCTGGTCCGCTTGTTAAGGTCATTGACCGCAGGTGTAGAAAAAAATAAAAAAGCAAGGAAGGAATGATTAAATGTTAGGGATTTTAGCTGAATATAATTAGAAACTTTAACTTACTCGTTCATTTAGCTGTAAATTAAAAACATATTTTTAGGATTTTAGGTTTCTTATCTTTCTCATTGGTTGAAGATCAAAAAAAAAAAAAAAGGCCAAACAATGAGCGATGCCGATAAGGTAGAGACTCCAACGGGGTCTAAATGCAAATTGTGCGAGAAAGACTTGGCGATCTCCACAACTTACAAAACGAAATGCGGTCATGACTTCCATAAGACTTGCATAACTAGTCATTCGAAGACTCATAGAGAATGTCCGATTTGCGGAATCATTTGTTTTCAACTTCCACCGAGTGGTAAAACAATTGTCAATTCGCCAGCCCCCTCTGGGAAAACCGGCGAAAATCGCGCTGAGGTAGACATAGGGAATTTAGTGACTCAAGCGGTCCAGGGGATGAAAAATGATTTACTCACTCAACTTTCCCAGCAAATGGCTCAGATTATACAAGCTAATATTGCTGCATTGGTTCCTGGAAATCCCTTAGCACCCCCAAACCCAAGCACAAACACCAACTGGACGGATCAAGAGAGACAGCCAGTCGAAAATTTTGATCAATTCCGGAGTGAGTCCAGATTTACTCCTGTCAGCGTAGAATCCGATGCCATTTATAGACCAGATAGGGTGGGCCAAATATTAAATAGTTGGAAAATTCGTTTCAATGGCAGTCTTGATGGCATAAGCGTAGACAATTTTATATATCGAGTTGAGGCGTTAACAGAGCAAACATTAAATTCAAAGTTTGAAGTTTTAGCTAGCAATGCTAGCCTATTGTTTGATGGTAAAGCTCGCGATTTCTATTGGCGATATCATAAAGCCTGCAATGGAGGGGGGCTCGATTGGAAAGCTCTCTGCGAAGCTCTTCGAAAACAATTTCGGGATACCCGCTCCGATGTCGATATCCGTGAAGCAATTCGGGATAGAAAACAAAAAGAGAAGGAAAATTTTGATACTTTTCATGATGCCATTGTCTCATTAACGGATGGGTTAGAAGTGCCGCTCTCGGAAAAGTCCGTGGCAGAAATACTAGCTAGAAATTTGCGCCCTGAAATACGACATGAACTTCTTCATATCCAAATTAATTCGGTGGGGCAATTGAGAGAAATTTGTAGGCGAAGGGAAAGTTTTCTGGAGGATGTGAGGCGGAATTATGCATATACAAAGGCAACTCCTTACCGGAAGCAAGTGGCTGAACTGCTTGAAGATCCGTTGCCAGATGAAGCCGCCGAATTTTCCGACATCGAAAGCGAAGTGGAAGTGGGAGCTTTGGCTTTGATTTGTTGGAATTGCCACAAAGAAGGGCATCGTTACCAAGATTGTGAAGGGAAGCGTAGAATTTTCTGCTATGGTTGTGGAAAGCCGAACACTTACAAACCTTCGTGTAGTAAGTGCCAAAAAAACGCGAAGGGGAACACACAGCCTCGTCAGCAGCCGTGTGTTCAACGCCACCGCCCGACGAATTCCGAGGCAGAACAATAGATATTGAAAATACTTCTGTAGAAATAGAAAATCCCAAATCTTCAGCACCAACGTCTGTTCAAAAATCTTTTTGGTCGAAGAAATTAAATTTACAAATAAATTCATCTAAAATACATAGTTGTTTAAAACATCAAAAGTCTCAATCCAGAAATGCACAGCGAATGAGAGGGTATTGGGCAGCTTTGAAAACAATAAATACGATTAGGTATAAGGAGAAGGATAAGCGTCCCTATGCCGAAGTGAGTCTTTTGGATCGTATTGTTATGGGGTTATTGGATACAGGGGCAGCTATTAGTGTTATAGGCGGAAACTTGGCTCAACAAATAATAAGAAGTAAAATTACTTTTAAGCGTGGAACAACTTCAGCATGCACCGCCGACGGAACGAAGCAAGAAGTCGTTGGTCGAATAAAAACTGTAGTAAAGTACAACAATCAGGAAAATGAATTGGATCTCCATCTAATTCCAACTCTCAGTCAAGACTTATATTTAGGGATTGATTTTTGGACTAAATTTGGTTTATTGCCAACAGAAATGCAGATCTCTGAAATTGTGTCTGACACCCATAGTCTTACGGCAAAACAAAGTGAAGATTTGCAAAAAGTTGTTAGTTTCTTTCCCTCGTTTTCCGTTTCTGGGTTGGGAAAGACAAGTATTCTCTCGCATTCGATTGATGTTGGAGATGCTAGGCCAGTAAAACAGCGGCATTTTCCAGTATCGCCGGCTGTGGAAAAACTTTTATATGCCGAAGTAGACCGTATGCTGAAGCTGGGTGTAATTGAAGAGTCGGATAGTGCTTGGTCGTCACCGGTTGTGCTGG